CAGAGCTTTATCCAATCCAGGCTTTAAGACCAAGATTTATGTTAAGGAAGCGTTGTGGGCTATTTTGCCGACCGAACCACTATGAGGTTGCAATTGACATTGTTTCGTGGATTCAAGTTCCCCAAGTGTTAATTGGACATAGAGAAATATTGGAAACATTTTTCATAACACCGGATAAGTTTTGAAGCAATAGTCCATTTATTTGCTAGATAACGTGTCATGTGAAATTGGTCGAGTGATGTGTAAGCACAACCAATTGACTCATTTTGACCTTTGAGCGTCGGTTATCCATTTTGTGGTACCTACCTCTTAGCCAAAACTTCTAGGAAGACAACAAAAATGACTTTTTCAGCTGCATATCTATTGTTGCATGAACTCTTTAATGTTCTCCCTATTATGATTGTCTCTGAGATGCATCTCCCCTCATTGGTGTTGCTTCACTTCTTGCCCGTAGCATGTTCCACACTCACCGCACCTTTCAGAATGTTGAATCTAGATCTATCATGTGAGGCATGCCCAAGGTTCGAAGTGATTGAAATCTTAAAGAAGAATTAAAGATAAAGAAACAGAGGGAGAAATAAATGAAAGAGGTGAACTAGGGTATTCCCGAGCTCTGTAACCCATTTAATATATTGTAACTGGGGGGTTACAAGTGAGAAGGGGAGAGAGTTCTCCATATAAGGGTGGGTCTAGAGAAAGAAGAGCATAAGAGGCTAGAACCTATAGAGGCAAAAAAACCAAAGGTTAAAAGCCCTAATACATGCTACGAACCCCTTATTTATAGGCGATAGAGGGCCAAAAGTGGAAAATTGCATGTTTGTACCTACGTTAATAGAGCTGTTAAAAGGTATTATTATCTTTTATAGTGTTTTTTCATATTTGTAACTGATTCAGATGCCTGTTTGTATGGCTTAGACCTTCTACTCGACGGGTTCACGAGTCAATTGACCAAGTTGGAATTAGTCGACTATCTTGCCTGAGTGTCGGTCGGCCTTCACTCTGGGAATTTGCATGGCTTTGAGAGTGGTAGCCGATCAACCTTAGTGTAACCTGTCAGCTTGCTTGATTACAGTTCCTTGGCGGCTATCTTTAGATCATTAAGGGAGTTACTGAGAGAGCCTCACTTTGATTGTTGTGAGATTGCAGGGTGTACTAGACCTTTATTTGTTCATTGACATGAATATTTGTTCCAAAATAGCCTGGGTGGCAAACCTTTGGTCGTCGGACTGGCCTTCAGTCAATTTGCAGTCCTAAGGTTGGTCGTCGACCCTTTGATCGACTAGCCGCCAGCCAGCTTCATGACTACTAGAAGCTTTTCATCAAGGTGATGATCTTCATTTTACCTCTTTTGATCTAAACAGTTAGATTATCTGGAGATCTGTGCATACCATGTTTTGGTGTACAATACACACACACATATACACAAAATTAACTCCATAATATAAGCTTTTCACAAGTATGTGGAACAAAAATGACATGACAACTTATATCTAAAATTTACTACCACAATCCACATATAATTTATTATTTGGTCAAGTGGTGATGGCATCCAAATGCCTTGTCGTGACAAGCATTCAAAACATAGAATAAATCTTCTAAATTGTAATTAAATTATATTAATGTTCAAAAAGTAAAGTTTTACAATACTTACTTGATGTAGAGATCATTTTGGATAGGAAAAAAGATAAGTGACACTACCCATGACTTCAGAAATGCATTTATGGTGTGTTGACATGGAAAAGAGAAGGAGAGGAAGGCTTAAATATGGATTATGCATTGATCAAATTTTGTTCCCACAGACACATAAGTTCTTAGGATTGTTGATAGGGCTGTGTGCCATTAATGTTTTTAAGAGCACAACGACTCATACATCTCACATGATATGACATCAATATTTATAGGGAATAAATGGATAACAAAACTACTTGGGGTAGTATATTCTGTATGAGCTAATTAATATTTACTGATTTGTTGAATGAACTGCATTTTATTCATAGTCTTCATGGCTTTTTTCAGAATGAATTTAAAAGAAGTACTAGCTATAAAACTTCACATTTTATCATATAACGAGTCTATCAGGGTGGCTTGTGAGAGATATCAACACTCGTTTGAAAGGATCATTAGATATTTTTCAATTAGTTTGAATGATTTAGTAAATATATCTTCTAAAGTTATCAAACCTGAGCATCAAATCTTTTGAAGCACCCCCAACGAAATATCATGTGATCACTGATATATGACGTACTTCAAGGTATTAATCATTCGTTTCTTAAAAGAATTAAAGATTTTTTAAAAAAAATTTGAATAGATTACTATGTGAGATAGGATTGTATTAGTGCTACTAATGGTCACATGTTGACGTACATATGTCAAATGGTGATAAGGTTGCATATAATGGATGTTTTGATTCACCTACATAGAGTATAATGACAAAAAACGACATAAATATATATATAATTTTTCATGGTTAGATGGAGGGCATTAATCACGATTGTCATATTTTTCAGATTTGTTATGAGATCTTATATGCATAATTTTTCCATGTCGTCTCAAGGTTGATTGATACTGGAGTAAGCTCCATATTAACTTTTAATAGAGAAATTAATTGTTGAATTTTCTAACAAGAAAATGTTATTTAATAGATGTTGAATATCCATTATAATGAGAACTTCTTATGTTATTTTCCACATAAAAATATCATTCCAAACTTTGAAAGTGCTAGTGAAATTATGCAAGAAAAAAAGAAATGTTCAATAAGCATCACTTATCATTACACGATACCATCGATAGGGTTTTTGGAGATTGAAAGAAAAAGTGAGTTGTTCTACGAGATATGTCTCTATACTCTTTAAAGAAAAGATTAAAATTATTATTGTAATAATAATGTTATATAATTACATATGACGTCATCATTCTCATTTTGATGTTGACATTATAAGTATAGCTAAAAAAAAGAATCAATATATTCTGATGAGCATGAGTATTGATTGAGGCAATCGATGAATGATATTGATGATGATTTAGGCAAGTCATGCATGGACAATGGTGTAGTTGTTGATGAGATATTGAGTTACAAGAGAAAACCACCAATGCTCTAGTTAATGGGTGAGTTAATAATATATTCTTGTTTTTATGAATAAGTATTATGTAATGTAACTGAAGGTTACAAATTATCAAAAAGCATTTGATCATTTTGTTTAATGTATTATGATGTGAATAGTTTAAAGTTGTTAACAATTAACATTATACTTTTTGCATTTTTATGATTTCATACAAAACATTTAAATTTGAGAATTACAGATATTTAAAAAAAATTATGAATTTTTTACAATGTGTAGTGAATGATATTTCAGACATTCATTCACCTGCAACTATAATACAAAATTTTCAAAATAGAATTTTTCAAATATATGCTCTCCTTCAGGTACCCCTTCCCAAAAACTTAGCTTGACAACTACGAAAACAATAATAAATGTGTCTTCTGCTTGAAATGTGGTGATATAAACTTTAGTTATGTGTTATAAAGTGCACTATGAGGACAAAATTGACTATTTATTGTAGCAAATCACGGACCATGCTAAGAAAATAGGATGAGAAGATCATTTCAAGAGGGAAAATAAATCGAGTTTCGATGATGGGAATTTTTTTGGCAAGCATTAGACTCGAACATATTTTAAATATATATATATTGTAAAGTCTTATAAAATGTAAAACAATAATAAAAGCTCTTTCAAAACAATTCCTAATTTATTTATAAAACATAGTTTTTGTATATTCACCAGTTTGAAAGAAGAGCTCAGTTGGACAATCCAAAAGTTGGATGCTAAGAAAGCTAGAAACGCTGAGAATGAACTGAATGTTGCTCGCACTTTTGACTCTGCTCTATATTGTGTTGACGATAGGCTCACTTAGACCAGGGTGGCTCGCAACAGAAGCAGCAAACCTTCACGGGTTCGAGATGTCTAAAACAACTTGCAACTTGAATGAGATGATGAGAACAATACACAATGTAATGGTGAGAGACATACTATACTGAGGACTGCACGAGACACTGCAATTTTAACTTGAGTAGCTTCTTCGACTTCTAGTTCAATGTAAGACTAAGACGAAGAAGGCAAGTTTATGCTACCATGTCCGGCTAGTTTATGTGTCGAGCCGTGTGAGCCATCCCAAATCATGGCGAACCATGGGAGACCTCCGACACGAAACTGTTTCGGATGCAATTCAGCCCGAGCCAGAGCCATATCCGATGCATGTACACCTATTTTTGGTCTGTTAGTACTTTGTAGCTAACGTTTCTTGGATTAGCTAGCATTTTATAAATCATGCCTGCCTCCTAAATTAGAAATTACCCAATTCTTTCCATGCTCCCATACACAGGGCTAGGAAGCTTAATATTAAATGACAAAACATAGAAAATTAAGATACACACCACAAAACTCCCAACATCTATATTTTTTATATTTGCTCTTAAAAATCTCCAGTTGGAAAAAAAAAATCATTCTTAAAAAAATTAGTTATATAACCTTTTTAATGTCATTAATATTTTAAATATTACATATATATATACTAAAACTCAAGTGTTAAATGTGTAAATATACCATGTATGTAAATGCTTCTATTTAAAGGCAATTTTATGAGCTACTTCTGTCTTCAACATCTCCTAAGAAGTTAACACAACCTGTCCGATACAAAATTGAGCTAGCGTTTCTCAAGCATTTCAATCAATGAACCTGTCCGAAACAAAATTGAGCTAGTGTTTCACACGCATTTCTATCAATGAAACTTAATTTCAATTCAGATACCTGACACATCTAACCCAAAACTGACAAATAAAAAAAAGAAACCATTTATTTGAACCTAGAGTGAAAAATAAGGCCAAATCATCATCTACAGCTGTTTCTCCAAATACTTCAAATCAAACCATCAAATTTGTATTCTTAATATGCATTCTACAGAATCATGGAACGGGCAAGTAAGAAAATTAAGTAAAAACTTGATTTTCACAAACCTCATAATCTGTGCATTCAGGTAAAATTCATGCTACCAAGTTGAGTCCCCAATCCAAAAAGAGAGAACTTATTACACAAGAAAGAAAGAAAATGGCAAAGTCCCCAAGTGGTCACAAACTATCAATCTACACAATAATTAAGTATGAAAAACATGCGACAACTGCAATAAGCCCAAGAAATAAGGACAAGTAATATGAAATTAAAGTACACGAGCGGCCTGATAAATCAATACAGGGCATAGATGGTGAGGGAATGAGAAAAGGGGGAGGAGGGAGCCAAAATGCAATTTGCCGAATCCCCCCCACAGTTGAATTCAGATAATCTGAGCTCACCCTGAAATTGTTCGAGAATTTTAGGATATAGGGCTATGGAAAACACTATTGTGGAGCCGAAGGCCTTGATCAATTTTGACAATTATTGCGGACAGGCACAAAAAGAGGGTAGGCAAAATATGAACACCTGTGAAAGTGTACCGTTAAGGCTTCAGGCGAGGTATCTGTACAGGTTAGGATTGTCCTTGTCCCGCTCCAAATAATCTCTGGTGATCAGGTCCTCTATCCGCTTCTTGATTGCCTTGAAGTCGGGCTACCAAAAAAGGAAACAAAAAGAAAAACACGCAATCTGTTACAGCACATGATGGATTTTATTCTCTTTGCAGAGGTAGATGGAGAATTGCGCAAAAATTTTTAATTTTCTGAAAATTATTGTGATTGTTATTAATTTTCTCTCTTCCGAGAAAAAAACTTTGCGAAATTGAACTGTGGCAGTATGTGGAAAGAAGTTATGAAAAACTATCTCAAGCGAACCATAGATGTCATATCTTGGATGTGTTGCCAAAAAAGAAAAAAAATCATCCATATAACATGATGTAAAAGTATGCAAAAAACAGAATAAAATAATTCATGGCCTTCATACATAGAAAAAATCAAATTTATATTCAGACATTGGCATTGTTTTAAACTATTGAAGCATTAAAACATTGTAGCACTGCATTGCTCCATCAGGGAGCGCTCAGGCAACTAAGAGAGTACACTCCGATGCACTTTAATATGCTTCACAATGCTTCTTATGGTGTTGATGTTGCTTCACCATGCACTTTGTAGTCTTCATGCTGCATGCTTTTCATTTCATTGAATTAATATTCTTCATGGTTCATGGTTCATGTCTTCTATGTTGAGGACTACGTTATCCAACAATTTTCTAACTAGTGATTCATTCCAAAATGATTTCCTCAAACAGTGCATCCAAAGATTTCAATATAATTTTCATTGCCTTTTGCCATCGGGTACTTATATAATTATGCCGTACCTAACCTATTGCCATTTTTCTGAGATGCAGATGAAAGGTAAACTTCGTGATTTATTTTAATTATGCTTGTGAGCCATTCATAGATTTTCTGATGCTTTCAGATGTACTAAGGATGTGACGGTACTTTTTCGTTCAACCACCACATTTTAACTGAATTGATTCTGATGAACATCGAGTTGCATACCATGATTCGTTAGTTTGCATATTATTTTTGTAGCCGATCAGCTTCTTCATTGGACTACACTTAGCACAATGAAGTGCAAGGAGAAGTAACTGATGTTCATTGTTGCGTTGGAACATTAGTTGTTATTCATTGTCAGTAGAATGCTATGAATAAAGATTTCTATTTTGAGAATGTTACATATGTAGCACACAATTCTTCAGTATCTACGTATCCCACAACTTTTATATCTCTGGTGATTTAAGACTATTCATGAAAAAGTTTATTTCACTTTTAAAAAATCGTAATAGTGCTAATTTTTATGTGATATTAATTATTTGAGTGCTATGTGTGCAAATATCAAAGTTTAGATGTAAGATATGTAAACACATACGAATTGTGCGCTATGTATTTAAATGTCACTTTTATTTTCATCTTGATACCACTGCCGAGCTAATGGTATGAGCCGTCCAACTTGTTTGAAGCTGTAAACCCATCAAGCTGCGTGCATGTTGATATCTTCTAAGTATCTACATGTCATATGGGATCATGCAATGTTCTTTAAATTTTGAAATTTAAATCCACTATTTAGTGCTTAGATTTTTGTAAGCATCCTCATTTCAACCAACTATTTAAGTTAGAAATGAATATTATTCTTATGATTATGTTCAGTGAAAATTGGCAGAACTTGCCGTTTGAGTTTTGAATGTAGTTCAAATTCGATCACTCCATGTCAATTTTATGACACAGAGATCTTACCAATCATTTTTGTTGAAGTTAACTTGACTATCAGTGATTTTTAAAAAAGAATTTCTTCATCATACACTCAACCTTCATTTTACATATCCTACGCAATTATCTTTTAAGCATTTTCTTTATTACACCAAGTCTTCGTGTATTTCAATAGATTGCACATCAATTAGAATAAAGAACTATCACCAGTGAATAAAGCACACTGAAGCTTCTCATTTTGAATATAATTTGCAAGCACATCTATACTCAATACAGAAACTATGGATATAATACTAATCCTTAATAAAATTATATTGTAACTGGAAATTCTTATAAATTAAAAAAAAAGGATGATGTAGACAGATAATATAAAATACCAAAGAGAAGGAGATGAAAAGCAATGACACGGAGTGGTAGCTATCCTTAGAAATGATGGAAAAGGAGGCTGCAATATTATAATATTAAAAATCGTCGATATATGGCTAAATGAAAAACACATAATACATTGAGCTGCTTAATTCAATATAAAAGAGGAGAAAAAACTCAAAATAATTAAATTCACGCTGAATTTTCCATCTAATTGTAATGCACATTACATGCGTAATGCCCATTAAGTGTTGGACAAGGATACAGCATCTGTTTTGAGGCATCGGTGCTTCCAAGATTTTGAGGCATGGAGGCAGTCTGATAAGATTAGATTTTCCAGCAACAATATGCAAATTCAACTGTGAAGGAAGAATAAAAGATTAAAGCTATAGATTACCTTGAACATTTTGCCTAGCTGCTCAACACATTCCATTACTAGTTGCTGATGGCCTAAGACTTTCCTACTCTTCATAATTCTTACAATAGAAGCATCAATGGCATATCTTCGATCTTTGTCTACATCTTCAATCACCTTCTTTTTCTCATCCACTGGAGGGAGAGGTATCTACAGTTTGAAAGATTTAACCTCATAAATGGTAAAAAGGATGAATAATTAATTTGCCATGCAAAGAATGCAATAGAAGCGAAAGAAATGAACCTTAATCCTTCTCATTTTATCAGTAAATTTGGAATTGAATTCAAAATAGTCAGTTTGTAAAATGGTTTTAGTATTTGGCTCTTTATTAAGAATCTTGTACTTTGCGCAAGAAAGGGAGTGGAGTAATCTGACAACATCATCATCTGTCAGATTTAGCAGATTCATGATCTCAGAGTAACTAAATCTATCTGAACCATTAAAGAGCAGAAGAGCAGAGGCCTGTATATAGCAAAGTCATTTATTAGAAACATATGGTTAAGGAGTATCCAATTAATGAATAAATAAATAAATAACAGTGCATAGAACCTGATAAGTTGTAACAACGAGTTCCATTGTCTTGAATTCAAACTTCCCATTGATATTACAGGTACCAAGGGAATAAATCCATGTAAGCTTACGGTGCTTAGTTTTTGTCTGATAGAATTCCTTGAAAACCTCTACACATTTAACCTTCACAGAAAACACACATACACACACTAGTTATGACGGCATTATGAATTAAAATGCATTCCCGTTTAAGCCACCCCAGCCCCATTGTGAGTAGAAAGCCGGAACATAAATAAGGAAATATTGAATCTAAAACAGAAATAAAATATTTTACATTTAAATTGCGGAAGGATAGAAGTAAAAGAGTAATTTAGGTTGTCCGCAAAATTAGGTCAACAACATGAGCCTCCCAATCCGATTACCGAATAAAAGCCAGAACAGGAATTGAAAAATAGTGTTCTCTATATATATAAATATATTTATATGTGCCGCAAGACATGGCCTGTTGGTTGGCGAGGTTCACTATAAGTCTCCTCAGGTCACGGGTTCGATCCCCAATGGCGAGAGGTTCTCAAATAGTTAGGCACATGGCGCGAGCCCTCATCATGGGGCCTTGATGCGCATGGAAAATCAATATTTGGGCCTCTACCAAATATTGATTTCCTTTATAATATATATA